AGCAGAGGCCATCGCATTCCCTGGGGTCTCACGTGACCTACCTGTGAGGCTTGTGTGCAGCCTAAGAGAACCAGGATCAACTTAACACGTTTTAATCCTGGCTTATGAAGCCATTTTCAGACCGCCCTCTGCCCTGTAGCCACCCCAGAAGGTAGCACCCCCATGTTAGAGATAGGCAGTGGAGACCCAGTAACCTGCTGAAGGGAATAGGGCAAATACATTCTGCTAAAAGGCATAAAAAAAACAGGTGTCAGGTATGGACTTCCAAGCCCCCAGGTAGAAAGTGTAGCTTAGGGGAAAAAAAATATTATAAAACGGGTAGTTTGCTGTCAAATAAAAGTTCCTAGGAAGTTTGAGTCTTAGTTCTATGTAAATAATGATAAAAACACATGTTTACAGAGCTTGAGGCAAACCTGTGTGCTATCTCCTACTGCTTCTGTAACAAATTACCACAAATGTAGTGGCTTAAAATGTCACAGATTTATTGTCTGGTAGTTCTGGAGGTCAGAAATGAAATGGGTGTCACTGGGCTAAAATCAAGGCATCAGCAGGGCTGGGCTCCTTCTGGAGGCTCTAGGGGAGAACCCCTTTCCTTGTCTTTTTGAGCTTCCAGGGCCCACCCCTTTCCTTGTCTCATGGTGGCCTTCCAGCAATTGCCATCACTCCAACCTCTGCATCCTTCTTCTTGGACTCTTTCCAGGACTATTGTGATGACGCTGGGGCCACCCAGGTACTCCAGCATGAGCACCCCATCTCAAGGTGTTTAACTGACTCACATCTGCAAAGTCCCTTTGCCATGGAAGGGAACAGAGCCACCAGTTCCAGGAATTCGGACATGGACCTAACCTTTGGGGGAACCCATATTTTGCTACCGCACCATACAACTTCAGAGATATCATCTCTAACATATCACGCAACACTTAAATTATTCCCTCAATTTCACTCTTGTTGATGATAGGGAACAATTTTCTCTCTGTCTGAAGGTGAGAGCTCCTCTCTCAGACTTCAGCATAATGCCCCATCCCCCCCCATCCAAGTCCAAGTCCTAAAAATGCACTCTTTACACCCATCATGTTGCTGAGGGAGTTCTGAATTTCTAGGTGATGAAACATTAAAGTTAGGGTTTTCATCCCTAAATGGTTCAAAATATGGAATGTGCTTTGTTAACATTCACCTTAATGGAGAGATTACGTGAAGTAATGGGAAGTAATAGTGTCTTTTTTTTCCTTGCTGTCCCCCCCCAAGTCAGTAATCATGGACATTTATAACGTATACTTATAAAATTTCTTTAGCCAAAAGAAAAGCAAAAGCACTGCTAGGCTTAGAATAATGATAAGAGCCAGCATTGATTTGGTGATTGCTCGTGCTTCATACTAACTAAGCTAGCTTCCTGGCAAGCCTGATTTAAACTGTTTTACTCTGATCAGTAGTTAAAGCCAAGCGACCCATGAATAGTGCTAGAAACATGAGACCGTTCCAGTGTGCTGAGGAGATCTACTATCAGGATACCAAGGACAGACACAGTTGTACCAAAGTAAACAGACTCTTGTGGCAGTTGAAATTTAAGTTCAGACTTAAGGTTCAACATAAACACCACTTCTGCACTTGAGCTTTCTAAGATAGCAATCCTGTTGACACAGGTGTATTAAGAAATGCTGACTGCAATATTACACCCAGTAAATAGCTCTAAATTCTGTAGTGGAAGAGTTTAGCAACCTCTGACCCAGGACAATAAAAGTAGTTCTTTGGAATAAACACCTGTCAGAAAATAAAAAGCTTTCTGAGTTATGACTGGGTACTAAAGCTCAGATTTTCTCTTCATTGCGCATAGGAATTTCATTTTCCATAATGTACTTCTGGGTGTGATGGTTATTATAACAAGACCTAAGTTCTCTGAGTGTTTTGGTCACTTTTTTGTAACCCTATTTTATGTTTGAAGTAAGCAAAACCTTGGCCATTAGTATTTAGCAGATAATTGGTGTTAAATAATATTTAGCCAAAAGAAATTACAGTTGCCACCCTGGCCAGGCAAAGGTTCTCCCTGCAAACCAAGATTCTGAGAAACACGTGAAAGGTATGATTGCAGTGAAGCTCCAGGCTATCTCTGTTGAATTTGTGTGTTCATACCTCCCTTCTGCTTTTCTATAGACGGTCCATTGCAAGGACCAGCCTGAGCCCTTGTGTGGGTGTCACTCCTGGCTTTGTCTGCTCTTTGGGAGACAATGGCAAAACCACATTATCTGAAGTCTAGGCGGGCAGAGAATTGTAAGGTCCTGCTGTGTCCTCCAGGAGATGGAGCACCACTGCAATGAAAAGGGGCTTTGAATACTGCCAACAGGCTTTATAAAAGCATGTGTCCTTTTATTTCCTTGGAAAATGGTACTCTTCCCAGTCTGGTGATAAAACCTGGTTTGTGGGCTGTATCAGTCATGGTCCCATCAGGAAACAGGTGGCATACTCAAAATAGGAGCATTTATTCACAAAAAGACTAATTAGAAAAGGTGGGAGACTAGGAACCATAAATGATAGATCAGGTACCCAGAATCGTGGCCTCACAGTTCCCAGCTGTAGCAAGTGGCACAAAACAGTGCCCAAAGCCTGGAAGGACAAGGTCATGTGGAAAGCGCCATCTTCAGAGGAGCAGTGTCTGTTTCTTGAGGACAAAGCAGTCTGAAGTGATCTTTTGAGAAGGAGCCAGGAAAAGGAATACCCTGACCCTCTGATCTCCTGCCAGGACTCCCCCTTGGCCAAATCATATGGGGGAACTGGGTAGGGATGGGGACACTGGTGAAACCTGTGCAGGTCAGCCTCAGAAGGGGGTTGGTGGGACTGGACTGGCAGAGCCGTATCTGAACATGGTACTTGGTGACTGATAAAACTGGTTCTTTGAATATATATTCATTCAAGAAATATTTAATTTTTACTCTGTGAAAAGCATCACGCAAGGTACTGAGGATGCTGAGGTAGCAGCATTTCCCATTGAATGATGTGCCAAGCCCTGGGCTCGGGCTTCTCACATGGAACTCTTACAGCAATGCTGTAAGGTGGGAGGAGCTATCTTCATCTGATAGGCCGGGCTGCCCGAAGGGAAGATGGACTCGCCCAAGGTCATAGTGGGAAAGTAACAGTCACATGTCTGATCCCATGCCCGCATGTTCCCCCACCAAAGCAGCCCATTCCCACAAGGAAGTTTCCCTGGGGAGAAAACCAGTCTTTTAGTGTTGAAGATTCTCTTTCCAGAACTTCTATAGGCAGGAAGAGTTGGGAATCAAAGCCTTGTGAGACCAGGACTGTTTATTTCCCATCTTAGGACAAGAACTGAAATAGCGTCACTGTCCTGACGTGAACAAAAGTGAGACCAGCTGGTGGGAGGCTGTGGGGCCATGCTGAGCTAGAAACGCGCAGGTGCCCATCCACAGCACAGCATGACCGCAAGCAGGAAGTGAGGCCCCACACGGCCAGCCTGTGGAAGCCTGGAAGACCACACGGGTCTGGGCCAGAAGCAGAGCTCCTCGGACAGTGTTGCAGTTTTGTTTGTTGTGGGATGGGGCCCTGGACTTGCACATAATGAAAATACAAGGTGGCAGATCCAAGAGGAAGGGCCCCGAATGGTGACCTGTGTGCGAGCCCGAGGTGGGGAGTTGTGGCGACTTCAGCATGCTGTCCAGTGCCGTCCTCAGTTCCTGCTCTGGACTGCCACAGAAGGGCCTCTCCAGGGCTTGGGGCCAAGGCAGTGGTAAAACTTACTTATGTAGATCAATCAGGCAACTCGATGTAGCCACCTGCCTTGTGGTTCTCAAAGTGCGGTCCCGGGACTAGCAGCATGGACATCACTGTGCACACTCCAGGGGCCACCCCAGACCTACAGAGTCAGCAGCTCTGGGTATGGGGTCCAGCAACCTGTGCTGCTAAGTCCTCAAGGTGATGCTGAGAACCAGGTAGAGAACCATTGCTGTAGGGTCACTAATTTATAATAGAGGCAGGGGATGCTTGGGGCCCTGACAACAAAGAACGCTAAGAGGAGGTCAGTGGGGGCTGGGGAGGGAAGGGACATGATTGCCCTGAAAAGGGGCCTTGGGGGTGACAGTCACTGCTAAGTCCTGGGCGTAGGTATAGGAAGCAGCACGAGGAAGCGTTAAGACTTGAGACAAGATGATGGGTCAAGTCTTGTCAAAATTCAAGGGCGACAGAAGAGCAGGGGCTGGGCAGCAGGTGGCACGTGGCTTGTACCAGCTCACTCAGATTCTCACCCTTTTTCTTCTCGCTCTTCTAATTTGTTCTTCTGGCAATGGGCCCTGCTGTGTGTTAGGTGGAAAAGAAGTTGGGGAAGTGGAGATGGGCAGTACATGATTCTTCCATCCACGTGGAGGCAAAACTGTAAACTGTTAGTGCCCTGTGGTAACATAGGAGGTCAGAGAAGGCTTCGTGAAGGGGAGGAGCCCGTCAAACGGAGCATTCCTAGCAAGGGATTACTGTCTTATGCATCCACGGCTTTGGGTAGGCACACACTGTTCATGGACCAGATGGTTGGGTATCATGGGAGCCCCTCTATGGGGCGGGGACGGGAAGGAAGGCCCAGGTAACAGGAATGGTGGGTGAATCCTCACTGTGTGTTAGGTATCCTTAAGCATTTTATATTTCCATTATTTAATCTTCACCAAATTCCTGACCTTGTGAGACAGTAAAGGATGTGTTAAAAGTTTGGCTTTTATCCTGTGGGCGATGGGCAGCCTTTGAAGTGTTTTAAGGAGCAAGTGGTTTTGGCCCCGTTCTCTGAGCCTCTGGTTCTCAATTCTGACCGCATGTGAGAATTGCCCAGAGCTAATTAAAAGAAAATGCAGCCGCCAGGCCCCACTCTAGATAAGAGGCATAGGCCTGGGGCTCAAGCTGTCTGGACATTACATCTGACTACCAGGCAAAGTCTGAGGGTCTGAGTTCAGACTCAGCAAAAAGTATTTGAATCGCCTGACTCTAATTGTGGCGTTTTGTTTTTCTTTCAGGAATGTCCCAAACACGGGTGAGTATCGGTTTTTTTCTTCTCCACATAGCTTCATCCTATAAATTTTACAGACTGTTGTGCTTTTAAATGTTCACAGTTATGCTCCATTCACATAACAAATGTGTGCTGTGCATCTAACGTGAAAGGGGGCAATGCTGAGTTTCTGTGTGACATCCCTTGTCTTTAGGAAATGCTGCGTAGGAAATTTAGGAAATGTTCGCCCTTCTCAGACGAACAAGAAAACTAGATGCTTTATTTCATTGTTGTCTCTCTGTAGAGTGTGAGGGAATCAAATGTTTTAAATTCTAGATTCCACCTCCAGATAGTCACTGACAAGTTACTAAACGGGCAGGGGCTGCTTTTCATGCCATTAGCGCTCGTTTGTGAATATGGACCAGCGAGGAGCATATTTCAACTCTAGGCTGTTTCTTTTTGTCAGAGCTGCTTTGGTTACCCCCTGAGCATATTCTTCATCGTGGTCAATGAGTTCTGCGAAAGATTTTCCTACTATGGAATGAGAGGTAACTATTTTCAACACTCCTCCCCCTTGAGTGAAGAGTGCAAATTACGCAGACACTCCTAACTGTGTTTTCCCTCTCCTTCCCCCCACCCTCTGTGGACAGCACTCCTGATCCTGTACTTCACACAGTTCATTAAATGGGACGACAATCTGTCTACTGCCGTCTACCACACATTTATTGCTCTGTGCTACCTGACACCGATTCTCGGTGCTCTCATTGCCGACTCCTGGCTGGGAAAGTTCAAGTGAGTAGTTGCAACTTTCTTGTTCACAAGCGAGCCAAACATTCATTATTAGCTTTGTAGTTTGGAATGGTGGACTCTGGGAACCAAGAGTCCGGAACAAGAAACTCTTAGGAAAGCACGCTAGGCCCTGTTTCTGCTCATCATCGGACCCCCAGAGCCTTGGCACAGTGTCTGGCATTTAGCAATGAATGAAAGTAGCACTGGTAAGTTTTCTTCCTGCCTCCAAACAGTGATAACAACTCTGTCTCATCTTGAAGTGGTAGCAGGGATACTGCCTATCATTAATGATGCTAAGGCTGGGAGAACAGAGGAGCTCCCTAATTTATGTCCCAGCTCCTGAAAGGTTCACACTGCTTGATGGGCAGAGGGGACACGTGGCATTCACCCAGTCAGTCCTTCAGGAAGAGCTCCACTTGTGCACTCAGTAGGGGGTTATCAGGAAGTTCCTAGTACTTAATAAGCAAGGAAATGGAGGTTCTTCCAGGCCCAAGGCATGACATAGGCAAAAGCAGGAAAATGCACTATCTCAAAATAATTCAATACAGTTCAAAAATAACCAATGGTCCACTCCTGGCCAAATGTTACCAGACACAAGATAAGTGGCTCTCATTTTTTAAAGCTATAAGTACTGATTTTAGTAGTTAAATAAAATAAAACATTGAATGTTTCAAATTGTTCCAAGATAAAATGGACTTCCCTGTTCCCCTGGCTTCTCCAACCAAAACTTTGTTCTACGCTTGCCAGCTGGGCAACAGATTTTTCAGCTGGTTGCCTTTCTAAGAGTTACTAGTTTTACTCAAGTTTGAGAAGCAAGTATATTCATGAGTGGGCTCTTGAAAGTTAGAAGCAGGGTGCCTTTTTGTGATGGAGTAGGAAGTAGATTGTACAATTAACTCGGATTTTCTTCAAACACAGGACAATTGTGTCACTCTCCATTGTCTACACAATTGGACAGGCAATCACTGCAATAAGCTCAATTAATGACCTCTCAGACTCTGACCACGATGGAACCCCTGACAACATTGCTGTACACGTGTGAGTTGACGTTAACTGCTGCCCTACCCCCACCCTCCCACTACTTGCTTATTTGGTGCTCTAATTTTTAATCTGTTTACCTGAACTTCACCGTAAGTATAAAGAGGCCTTTCCTCCCTCATCAGCAGTATAGAGAAAGCCATTTAATTGACGAAGTGTTGGGTCTTCAGTATGTCACCATCCTAACAGTTGTCTAGAGCCATTGCTCATCTGCAGGCTTGTTGTCTGGGGTACGTCTCACATGATGCATGGTCAGTGCGTGGAGGACCTGTGTGAATCTTGATCTGCTCTAGAAGCACATAACTCCCATAGACCTTGACCCCTAACTGTGCCCAGTTTCCTCAAAACTCTATACCTTTAGTGTTCTGTCTTGTACTATACACTTACTGATTTTTCAGTCATTCAGTTTCATGAATATTTGTTTGAGGCCTAGATTCTGAATCCCTGATGGAAAGTGTTATTGACAAATGCTCCTCTGTGAGATTCATTTCCTTTTATTGCAGCCTAGTCTAGTAGACAAGTTACAAAGATTTGTTTTGTTTTCTGTCCTTGGCTTCAGATCCTTGATCTCTTGAGTCAACCATCTAATGGGTTGGGAAAAAACCTTATTGAAATTCAAATTAGTATTTGCAGTCCCTGCATTTCTGATTTGTTTGTCAATCAGATTGCTGTTCAGAGGAGGTTCCTTGACGAAACACCCTTGGTGCCTACAGTGAATCATGTTGGTGGAGGGGGGTGGTTCTAAGCACAGTTTGACAGTTCAGACTTTCAGTATCTGATTCCCAGCTCCCCCACAGGGTAGCTGTAAGACCTGGGGCAACCTATCTCCTCCGTGTCTCAGTTTTCTAATCTACAATACCAATTAAGAAGAACATGGACTTTGAAGCTAGGTTGTGTGGGTTCAACTTCTGACTGTGCCCCTTATTAGTTGTGTGATCTTAAGCAACTTTCTTAACCTCTGTGCCTAAGTTTCCTCATTTGTAATAGCACCTTCCTCACATAGATAGGACTGTTGTACATTAATCCAGGTAGAACACCTAGAACATTGCCTGTCAAGTGATAAGTACTCAAGAAAGCTTAGCTACATACTTTATTTCATGGAGTTAGTATTAGAACATACCTATAATTCTCACAAGAGTGCATGTTGTATAACATACAGTTGGCCATGGGTTTTTTGTTGTTCGTTGTTTGTGTGTGTGTGTGTGTCTGTGTGTGTGTGTGTGTGTGTCTTTTAAAATGCATAGAGTGACAGCACTTAACACAAGTCGTATTAAGAAATAAACAATGAAAGAGGTGCTTCCGCCAGTAAGTCCAGGAAGATGAGCATGATTTTTTAAAGAGTCCTTTCTGTGTGCAGTATCTTTCTTGACTGTATCTATTTCATAAAATATGTTTTAGCATTTTAAAGCAACATTAGCAACCAAGAAGATATGGAATAAATACTTAGAAAACTGAAAATTTGTAGTACCTACTATAAATCAACAAAACTACAAAACGAGGTTAAATTCTGTGAGTGATTTTTTTAATCAGAAAGTAAAACATTTATAGATAACTTGGAAAATACAAAAGTAAATAAAAGCAAATAACCCTTACTGCCTTCTAATTATAAATAATCCTTTTAATATTGTAAAAGATTATAATAATAAATATTTTCCGCTATTTCTACCCAGTCTTCTGTACTTTGTAAACAAGTTAAGGTCACACTAAATAACCTGATATCCCACTTTGCAATTAAATCATTAGTGTTTTCTAATGTATTTTATTGACGATTATGGGTTTATTACGATTATACTAGAGACAATGCTTAAACATTTTACTTACCCATTTTTTTGCTAAAAATGATATGGCTGCAAAAGAACTTCATACCAAAACCCCTGTTCAATATTCAAGCTATTGCTTTAAATATCCTGGCTTGTAAATTATTAGATAATGGTATAAACTTGAAGGTCCATTCACTGTCAAATCCATTCACCTGCATTCCCGTGCATTATTTTCTCCTGTATTTTGAGCTCCTTCTCTGTGTTTACCACTGCGCCTGGTCCTCTGAGGGAAATTTGGAAAAATGAGGCTCCTGCTTTGAAGGATCTCACATTTCGGCAATAACGCCCCTTCTTTCCCTAGGGCGCTGTCCATGATTGGCCTGGCCCTGATAGCGCTAGGTACTGGAGGAATCAAGCCCTGTGTGTCTGCATTTGGTGGAGATCAGTTTGAGGAGAGCCAGGTAAGAGCATGTGCCTTCACAGAAACCACGTAAATGAACCAGAGGTCTCCAAGAATCAAATTCCACTGACACAAAGTCTGTTCTCCACTGAATTCTTTTCAAGTAGACTTGAAAGTGAGATACTGACCAAAACTAAGTTAGAAATGAGGTCAGATCATCAGCTACATTTGATCAGGTGACATGTAGCCAAAGACATCGTACTTTAACTTTATCCTTTTTATTATAGGAAAAACAAAGAAACCGATTTTTTTCCATCTTTTACTTGGCCATTAACGCTGGAAGTTTGCTTTCTACTATCATCACTCCCATTCTCAGAGGTAAAAAAAATAAATCTGAAGGGGACTTTATTTTATTAATTGTGGAGAGAAAGTCAGGTGAAAGATTTAAGTCCTTGTTTTGTTTGTGCTGTTCCTCTATTCTCCCATTATTCTTCAGCTACTGGATACATACTGGAGTACACACTGATATCCAGAATATGAGCTTCTTTTTTTCGAGTTTTATCTCCTTTTCTAATCTTATTTGAATCTCTTATCCCAATGACCACTGAAGAATCTATAACATCCTTAGTATAACAATTGATTTTTCTAAATTATTACTAATGCAAAGTCTGTATTCATGGTAAGAGATAAGACAAGACAGACTGTGGAAACCAACATTTTTGCCTTCAAGATTTGCCCCTCAGTGATGTTCGGTGAGTTAGGAATTTAATGGGCAAGGTTTTATTCTTTGCTTTCTAATCATCTCAAATATTTCTAAAAGAACTGCCTAAGTAAGAAGATGAGACAGCAACTATCAGCAGCACTCAGATTTTTGTGCTTACTAACAATCCATTGGGAGTTTGTGAATTTCCCACATGGAAGGGAATATTTGGGGACAAATTAGACCAAAACAAGACTAGGATGTGCACACTGAATCAGTTTAAATTATGAAATAAAACGTTTTGTGGGGATTTATGTATTTCTGCATAGACTAGTAGTTTGAAGATGACACTTAACCTGCATTCCAACTTGTTTTGTTTAAAAATTTAACAACTTTTATTCTTACACTATGTTCCCTCACCTCCCCACCTACTAGAATATCTACTGTTTGAATTCGAGAATGTGTTAAAGGATAATTTTTTAAGGTAAAATCATGACTCTCACACAAATATGAAATGAGCATGTGACAAAGATTTTATATAACTTTATTAATGAGGGAACTGGAAAGCTACTACAGTTAGTTCAAATAAGGATTTGATTAACAGAGATTTATTTGTATTCTTTATTTTGCATTGCCATGAACAGGGATCATTTTGTACAGCTGTGAACTGAAAACATGGCATGACTATCAGTTTTCTAGTGAACTTCTTTCTCTACAGAATTGTGAAATAGCTAGTCAAAGACAAAGTCAAAACCCCTTTAGGATTAGAATCCTGGAATCTCCACCATTCTATTGAAATGATTTCCAGAATTCTCTATTGTCCCTTCCAAAGTCTTAATTTTTTTCTGCACCAATCCTAGGATTTCAGAGCTAACATAGATCCTCAGACAGGGGTCGGCTAACTATGGCCTATGGCCCAAATCCAGAAATGTGGACAAGACCATCCATATGTGTATTGCCTATGGCTGCTTTCACCCTACAAAAGCAGGGTGGAGTAGTTGGGACAGAGACTGAATGGTCTACAAAGCCTGAAATATTTACTAGCTAGCTCTTCACAGAAAAGTTTGTTGACCCCTGCCCTGGATCATCTAATTGTTTTCTAATTGGCATGACTTCAGGAACATACAATCTTAATTTTTTTTCCAAGGCACTTTTGACTTTATTTACTGAGTATCCAGGTCGTTTTTATCTCCCCCACTAAGAAAATCCACAGAACATAAGAACTGATTTTGGCTCCGCCAGTAGCAGACATCTATTTAAGGGCTAAGATTAGAACCTGTCTCCATCTCCTGCTCTTTCTACTCCAAAGCTGCTTTGCTCCACTGGCAATGACATCAATAAGGCAAATGGATAAGTCTAAAACATTAAGTGAAAACAATATGGAAGAACCAGTTAAGGGTTTTTTTAAATGGGAACTATATGAGCATTACCAATACCATAATGAATTTTAATCTTGTAATTTCCCTCCAGTTCAAGAATGTGGAATTCATAGTAGACAAGCTTGTTACCCACTGGCCTTTGGGGTTCCTGCTGCTCTCATGGCTGTAGCTCTAAGTAAGTAGAAACCAGTTGAAGTAATACAATCCTGTAATCAAATCAGGCTCTCACATTAATTATTGAGATGAATATTTACAAGTTTATATCACAAATTGTAATAATAAGTAGTATGAAGAATTGTCATCCCATGTTAAACGTGCTCAGAGAATTCAAAGAAAGTATAGTTGCATATTGTTTCAGATGGAATAGGATCAAAAAAGGGTTTACAGGAAAAGGAATCAACTGAGTTGGACATGTAAAGGTTTGATGCTACTTAGGCAGATTAAGGTGAAGGTCACGATTCTACTAGACCAGATGAACCTATGGCTGAAAGCTTCTCTTCTTATCAACATGAGCTCATCCACAACTTGAAGATATGGCAACCTGGTCCAATTGTTGTTTAAATACTTTCAATACACATCTAGATTTCCATCATGTATCACCTCAAAATGTTTCTGCTAGAATACCTTCCCTCTAGGATGAATGTATGTGTATATTAGATGCATTCATTGGCACACTAGTTCTTGGCAATGGCTTTTTAGGAAGTGTGAAGAGATTTCTACATGGAATAGTGTAGCTTGAAAGATGGTTGGTGTCTTCATTGCCTAGGACTGCCATAACAAAATACCACGGACTAAGTGGCTTAACCAACAGAAATTTATTTATTGTCTCCTAGTTCTGGAGGCTGAAAGTCCAAGATTAATGTGTCAGAAGGACGATGCTCCCACAAAGGCACTGGGAAGAATCTCTTCTGGGCCTCTCTCCTTCTTCCTGGGCTTGTGGTAGCATATTACCAATCTGCCCATGCATGGTCTTCCTTCTGTGTACACATCTGTGTCCCAATGTCCACCCCTCCCCCTTTTTTTATTTATGGACTTATTTTATTTTTTATTATTTATTTATTTATTTATTAAATTGGGGAAGGGGAACAGTGTTGGGGAATTGGGGAACGGGACCAGCCAAGTTATTCTTCAATCTTCATTGTGGAGGGCGCCAGTTGCCATCTGGCTTCCCGTCGGCAGCTTGTGGCCTCCAAGGTTAAGGTGCCGTGTTACAATCTTAGTTGCGGGTGGGCATAGTCACCATCCCATGTGGGAGTCGAACCAGCAGCCTTGTTGTTAAGAGCGCATGCTCTATACACCTAGCCATCCAGGCAGCAGCTCAGCTCAAGGTGCCGTGTTCAGTCTTCGTTGCGGGCGGGTGTAGCCCACCATCAAACAGGCAGTCTTGTTCTTAGAAGCACATGCTCTCACCGGCTCAGCCATTCTGCCACCTGTTGGTAGCTCAGCTCGGGCACAGTGTCACTGGCCCATGTGGGAATTGAACCAGCGGCCTTGTTGCTCAGAGCTGACATTCTTAAGCTAACTCTTAACCAGCTCAGCCACTTGGCCGGCCCTAAATGTCCCCTTTTTACTAGGATGATCTGCAAAGATGGTATTTCCAAATTATGGCGGGCCAGCCGCCACAAGTCGATCAGTACCCGAAGGGGGGAGTGGGAATGAATAAAGAGACACTCACACAAATGCTGATGCGGCCGGTCTTCACTGATGGTGAAGCACTGAGTTTATTTTTCCTCACCAATATATGCAGTTTGAGTACGTGCAACACTGCAGGTACAACTCCGCATTACCTCATACAGAAGCAGATCATTAACTATCTACTGGAGACTTAAAGATCAGAGGGGCTTTAGGGGATTAGCTTCCCAGGACACTTTCTTCCATTAACCCAGATAGCCATCTATGTATAGTGTCTCCTAAGGAACTGACCATCCTCACCACATACCTCAACAACTTGTAAGCACTCTCCAGGTGCAGGCAGAGACAATGCCTTAGGAGCAGAAACAGGTTAAGCATTAACTGAGCCAGTCTGTAAGGCTCTGAATTACCTGTAACCATGGCTCCCCACACCAAATAAGTCACATTCTGAGGTATGAGGATAAGGACTTCAACATCTTTGGGGTGGGGAGTGGGGGGCGTAATTCAACCCATATCAGTAGCCCAATTAACATCTCAAACCTTCATAGCCACTTCTCTTGCCCAAATTACCAGTCAGCACTGTACTTTTCAACTTCTTTTGCTCATGTTGGAGCAATTAGCTTTTTCCTTATGTTTATGCAAGAGCTCAGCATTCTCCCCTTTGTGTATATCCATTTTCTTCCATAACTTTTTAACTACTGCCACACTCCCCTAAAAGGCCGTGCCTTCTCCTCTCTAATCCTGGGTAAGGAGATGGAGGTGGAGAGGATTTCAGAAACTGGTGTTTTAGGCTGGACACTGTTAAGTTCACATTAGGTAAGTTGTCATTTAGTCTGTACGAGTCATTCTTACATCAAAGATTATGATTCCTCTTACGGAGGAATTGAGAACAGGCCAAATTCTATGCATCAACACCATCTCTAGAAGTTTCTATCTACAGCAATCTTATGTTTGAATTAGGTTTCAGTTACTCAGAAGCTTAAAGACTAAAATATTATTGGACAAAAAATGTAAACTCAATCAGTTGGCCCTCTGCCATCCATGTCTGGATTGAAAAAGGTTGGCATTGGGTGAGAATACAAGGAAACTTCCCTTTCTTCAACTATAAAGAACATCTATAATACAATCACAGACTTAGAGATCTGCTTGAGAATTGGTACCTGTTAAAATTTCAGGCCCTTTTAATTGAGAAAAAAAAAGTAGAATTCAAACAATCCATTGGGTTTTTTGTTTTGTTTTTTAGCTGAGCCATCCTGCCACCCTTTGGCAGCTCAGGTCAGGCATCGAACCGCTGTTGCTCAGAGCTCTCACTCTTAACCAACTGAGCCACTCGGCCGGCCCTGTTTTGGTTTTTTTGTAAGATTTTATTGGGGGAGGAGAACAGCATTGAGGAATCAGGGAAGGGGGAACAGACAAGTTGCTGTCCTTTTGTTCTTCAGTCTAGTTGTGGAGGATGTCGCTTCACTGGCCCATGTTGGTATTATCATTGCGCTCTTCCCTGGTGAGGCAGATCAGTCGCCGGCCACTGGACGGCCGCTCACGGCAGCTCTTGGCAGCTCACGCCAGCTGCCAGTCACTCCCAGCAGCTCACGGCAGCCCAGCTCCAGGTCGAGCTGTTGTTCAGCATCTTAGCTGTAGAGGGCGCAGCGTCACTAGCCCTCATGTGGGATCCAAACTGCAGCCCTGCTGCTAAGAGCTGGCATCCCAAGCCAACTCTTAACCAACACGCCACTTGGCCAGCCCCCATTGGTGTTTTAAAATTATTGAATTCTGAGCTGGACAATCAGAAATCCTCTAATAGGGATTGTGTTTTCAGAGCACCTTCCAGAAATACGTTTTTTCTCCCAAGTTATTTTTACAATATGTCTTTTCCAAGAGGGTTCATCAAAGAATTGCCTCATTATAAAGTGCTTTTACTTTTGTAAAACTGTAGCTGAAGATGCAAATAATTGTAACTGTGTTTCTGTACCATGACCATAGAATAAATTGTCACACATGATTAAGTAAAAGTTTCAACAGATTAGTTCCTATTTTTTTCTGAAGATTAAAAAAAGAACAACTTTCTCTTGTCATTGCAACTAGAAAATTAAAGCTGGTTTTTGTCTTTATAGGGTAATACACTAATCTGTTATGTGAAAGCATTTACTCCTTTTCTCTCCCTTTACATAGGGATAGAATTTGTGCTTAAATAGCTATACTGTCTTCCTGCAGCCCCACTTTCTCGGAAGTAGATAGCATTAAGCTTCAGTTTTTAAGATGTGAGGACACAAGTATAACATTACTCAGAATCTCCTGTGATCATTAGAATCAAAAGCTCTTTCTAAACTGGGAAGTAGGTAAACCCCTACTATGAATAATCCTAGTATTTCTGAAACAAGGTCATAACTCAAAAACACATCGTGTAGGTCACAGGTAGTTCTGACAACGCCTTGTTAACACATCTTTCCCCCCCCCCTATCCAGTTGTGTTTGTCATTGGCAGCGGAATGTACAAGAAAGTTCAGCCCCAGGGCAACATCATGGGTAAAGTCGCCAAATGCATTGGTGTAAGTATTTCAGTAATTCTCTTTTTCAATGACATTTAGTTACCCCAGAACCTTCCAGCTCTTTCAAATTAAAATCCAACAAAGTGTTGACTTTCCTTTAAGCATTTTATTAGTGTTCTTTGCTATTTTGATAAATGGAAGTTCGTAGAAAACTCACCTAATGGGAAAGGACACAAACAGAGCTCAAAACGGGAGGGATTGGAAATGACTCTTGAACTTACAAAATAAGATTCATGGTCACAGAAAATCAAATCAAAATGACTCTTCACCTATCAAAATGGCAAACAGTGTCTGATGTTTGTCAGGTAGCAGTGAGGCAAAAATGAAGAGGCAAGGCAATGCGTATCAAGAGTCTGATGTAGAAATTGTCAGTAATCCTACTTTCAGGAATCAAAGCTAAAAAAGTAACTTTTAAAAATGAACACATAAAATGAATACAAATTTGCATTCAAAGATTATCAATGTAATATATACAACAGCCAACCTTTAAGTCCACCAAATTGCTGAAAAAAGAACAGCGTCTAACTTACACAGTAGTACATCTATGCCATATTATATAGCCATCAGAAGTCTTGTTTTCAAAGACTACTTGATGATAGGAACATGCAGAATATGATTTCTTCCATACACATCTACATGGTATATGTACATACAGGCACATTTTTGAGTCAGGAAATCAATGTTGAATGTAAGAATCTTTAAATAATGGAGTCAAATAACTTTATTCTCCTACTCATCCCCCATTTTTTTAGTGAATATATACATTGTATAATGTATATATTATACAATATACAGGGGGAAATGTGTCACTGATTTACACAACAAAATAATGTGTGTGGATAATCTTTTGGATGTAAAGGCAGCCTTAAGATAACTTTAGGCCACTTACTTTCCCTTTGCCTGGTTTTATTGCATTAAATTATATAGGTGCGCTTTACTTTGTGAAATAAACATGCCCTCTCAGAATCAAAAAAGTTTTCTTCCCTTGCAGCTCTTTCCTTTTCCTCCTGCACTTTCCTCTAACATTAGTTAGATCAATTTACACCACAAAATTTTTTCAAAGCTAGGTGAGAACCTTACCAATGATCTCTCCAAGTCCTTCCTTACCAAGTAATTGACAACTTAGTTCAAACTCCAAAAGAACTACTTGAAGCAATTGAGAGCCACGACAACTGTATCTCCCAGTATCCTAAAATCAGCCGTAGCTTTGGGTATTGATTTTCAGCAGAGGCATGTCCCCACCAGCACCACCATTGCCTTCCTCGCTGCTACATCATTACAAATGCACTTTGCTTTTCCTAAAGGCCTCTTACTGACAAGGACTCTTGGCATGAGTGGGCCAGTATAATTTTCTAATCAGTGTTACCATATTTGAAAATGCGCTTAACTATAACCTTGTCTTCTTATAAATCCATTTCTACATAGTGGGTTCTCACTCTTCTTTTGTGGCTATAATACATTTATTATAGCCCTTCACTATCTAATATGGGAGCCACTAGCCATGTGTGGCTGTTGAACTTTTAAATATGGCAAGTGCAACTGGGGAACAGAATTTTAAATTGGAGTTCATTTAAATTAATTTAAATTATGTAATATCTTGTACATGTATTTCTATGTAGTAGGTTTTCATAAATATAAAAACCAATACTCAACTCAGTTATTGGAAAACTTTAAAGTATGTTTGGAACAACTTCAGGTCTGTAAATCTAGTTTTTCAAACATAAATTTTATGAAATGTAAATACAGATCAAATATTTCTGATAAAAATGTAGCATTCAAATTGAAATGTACTGTAAATGTAAAATATACCTTGGATTTCAAAGACTTGGTATGAAGAAAGCATGTAATTTTTTTTTTTTTTAGCTGAGCCATCCTGCCACCTGTTGGCAGCTCAGCTCGGGATGGGACTCAAACCGCGGTTGCTCAGAGCTCGCACTCTTGAATGAGCTCTTAACCAACTGAGCCACTCGGCCAGCCCGAATGTAAATTTTTTAAATTATGTTTTTAAATACCGATTACATATTAAGATCATATTTGAGGCTTGTTGGGATAAATAAAATATATTTTAAATAAATTGCACCTGTTTCCCTTTTGCTTTTTAATATGGCAACTTGAAAACGTAAATTGCAAATGTGTCCCCTGTTATGTTTCTATGGGACGCTCCTCTCTGGAAGACCTGGAAAGTAAAGTGGTAATAGTGTGACTTTGTTTACCCCAACTCACACACTCATAGTTAGTAAGAGATTAGAAATAAGTGCATATTATACCTTTTAGCATCATCATTATGCTAGTGTATACGATTTTATATTTTGCTTCTCTCACAAGTTTTCCATTAAAAGGCGTTTCATTGAAATGTGTTTCCCTGATCAAGTAATCGGTTCTGTTTTGAAATTTGCTTTTTCTTTCTCCCTTCAGTTTGCCATCAAAAACAGGTTTAGACATCGGAGTAAGGAATTTCCCAAAAGGGAGCACTGGCTGGACTGGGCCAAAGAGAAGTATGATGTAAGTAATCATCATTGCTGCAGTGGTCCCAGGGTCTTCCTCTAGAAAGTGACCATCCATGGCTACAATTATTATTATCAAGGCTTCATGGACAAGATTATCAGCTGTATCTCCATAACCTTTATTGGCATGTTAAATAAGACTCTGGGAGAATGCTTTTTTATATGGAGAAGAATTTGATAAACAATGGATATAATTTATCTGGAAACAATATTACCTTTTCATAGATTTTCATTTGGTATAACCTGCCAATTATTATATACAATCGTGATCACATAACTTTAATTTGAATATAGAAGAGTTAAGTGGTGGTGGTGGTGGTGAAGTTTGCATTTAGTGGAATTTACATTTAAATTCAAGTAATTTACCTCCTAAACAGATGCTTTCACTCATGTTTTAAATAGCTTCAGAAGTTTTGGTTTTCTAAAGCAACCTGGGGTAGGGTTCTTTGGAACCCTTAATCACCTCCCAGCTTCTCTAGATGCAACCACATCTACACTGAAGCTAACATTGTGATAACTGTGAGTGACACAAGTCATGTCTGATTTGTCCCTCCCCCACTCCAACTATAGGAGCGGCTTATCTCTCAAATTAAGATGGTTACCAGGGTGATGTTCCTGTACATTCCACTCCCGATGTTCTGGGCCTTGTTTGATCAGCAGGTAATGTGAAATTAAGTTTTTGTACATCTTCATTTAGCAAACATTTTGGGGGCACTACCATGTACCAAGCCACAGTCAGTATCCAGCTCCTTAAAGAGTTCTCTTCCAGTTTCTTTTTTATTCATTTATATGATCATTGTTAGATCACATTGAGTTCCTTTAAAAAAAAAAACCACAAAAAAAAACAAAAATACCTAGATGGTTCGATCCACATTTCTGTTACAAAACAATGAAGAAATTAGATGTGGTTCAGTAAAGAAGACATAGGAAAGATTTAATCAAAGTGTCCAAGACTCTTGCAGATCAAAACTGGTAACAGAGTTTCTCTACTGATATATCATGATAAAAAGATGTGTTGTCTTTTATGGGATCCACAGGATATTTAAACTGAGAGGGACTTGATACCTTCCAATCTAAAATGGAATTCTTGGTCTAGAAGTTCCACACAGGGATGCGAAATGAATCCCCTGAAGTCACTCTTAGAGCAGGGAACGAAAACCCCAATCATTGCCACATCACTGTGTTCTTTCTTTCTTCCCCAGCTATAAGATGTGTGCCCAGGAATTTTTCAATACAGGGTTAGACAACTCAATGCATGATGCGCAGTAGCCAAAGTAATAAGATATTTTTTCTTTTACAAACTGGCGTTTTAAAAACATTTACAAACATGCATGATTTTATTGTGCAAGAAGGATTATTATAAGGGTAAACCGTTTCTTGGAAAAATTTGCGTGTACGCGCATTAATCTCCTTATTTGTAAGTATAGAATTTAGACCAGCATCCTAAGGACCAGGGAGGCAGTTTTACATGTGGAATAGGAACCTGTTTGTTGAAATTGGATTTGCACCAGAAATACACTCATCACCTTTTAGCTGTATGACTTCTGAAATGGTAATAACCCATGGCAAGCCTGTGAGGATCAAAAATAAAAAATGTATATAAAGTAATCAGGGCCCAGCATATATTAAGAATTCAAACAGTGGCATATTTCCTGACTTTTTATGATGTCCTCCTAGTGGAGTTGATAGATTGTGTTGAAACATTTACATCTTTAGTCCTCCATCGAAATAATCACATGTACTTGTACAGTCTGGAGCCATCTTTTCCTATAAAATAGGTTGAATATAACGAGGCTGCCCAGGTTTAAATTCCTCACTCTCTTTATGGAATCACTTTTAGGACAGCGTAGGCTGTCAAAAATGGCTCTTAACAATATTAATGTTCTTATATGAAAACTATGATACCAGTAAATACTGAATATTCTTAGAGTGTGAAGCTGCTTTCACCTTGCAGGTGATGTCATTCTTCTCCGATAATGTCATTCTTCTCAGAATGACATCAGAAATGAGTTTTTGTCTTTCCTCAAGATAGCTTTATCTAAGAGGAGTATGTTGTAGATTCTTCATGAGGGATGGGAGTATCATATATTGTGTTAACTTGTACAGCAAAAGTGCAGGTTGTTTCTTCTGACCCAGTATTACAATGGAGATGGGAGACGAACTTGATGTTGAAAAAAAATGTTAAATCCTGTAACATTTCAGTCCTCATTCCTGACTTAAAAAAACAACAACACTGACTTGTAAAATGTTTAAAGGCCATGTTCCCAAATAATGCCATGAACTTACTCGTTTTGTAAGGGCTCGAGGTGGACACTGCAAGCAACAACTATGAATGGGAAAGTTGTAAGTTTGAGACATCAAGATATTTTACCTCCCCTGGCTACTATTCCTTTGTTTTAGTCCCTTTGCCTTTTTTCTCCTTCCCTTTCATGGTATTCCCAAACCCCACCCCACCCCCACAGTTGATTATCTCTGGGAACTTATCAATGAGACTTTTGTCCCCTGTTTTTAGGGACTTATTGACATTCAGCCGGATCAGATGCAGGTAAGAAAAAATATTTAAGTTGCTTTCAGAGATCAAAGTCACCTTTGAGACAAAGGTAACAGTTCATCTCCACTCCATCTGCAGACTGTGAACGCCATCTTGATCATCATCATGGTCCCCATCGTAGATGCTGTGGTGTATCCTCTGATTGCAAAATGTGGTCTCAATTTCACGTAAGTGACGGGTGGGTAGGGGTTGGGGTTGGGGTAAGGTTCCAACATGCCTAGGGCTTTGCAAGTACGCTGCACTCCCTCAGCTTCCAGGCCTCCGTGGAAACAATGCCTGTCTCCCTTCCCACACCACCACCTATATGATGGGTCTTTTAAAGAAATATATTTGAATTAAATGCCTGAGTGCCAATGTTTCTGAAAACTTGCCCTTACAAAAGAAGTGCTATTAATGGCAGCCTGAAAAAGCCCCTAATTAAGGCTCTCTTATAGAAGTTGAAGGTTGTTCGGAACAGGCTCCCCTAAGGTGTGTCACTTTGGAGTGTAGAGTATTTTGAGCTGAAGACCAACGAGACCCTGTGGACTCAGGAGAAACGTCTGTCCCTCCCTTAACTACCTAGAAGAATCCAAATTGGGGACCTTGAGCTGAAGCACTTGAGACCCTGTGGGCTCACAAGATGCTTTTCACCTCTCCCTTGAAGAATTGAAATTTGGGGCTTCGCCCATAATGAATTATCACCAGAAATAACTTTTTATGACCTGTCCATATGGCAAGGCAAACATCTAAATTACTGAACACCTGCTCATCTTTTCATTCGGCAAACTGTCCCCCTCCCCTCTAAAGCCCCAAGGCATTTTATCTCATTGTTTGGCTCAGGATACCATATATCCCCCATTTTCCCTGTCTGTCTCTGAATGTCTAATGTTTGCGGTGATCCTAGACATATTTATGTAATTAAATTTGGTTACTTTCTCTTCTTAATCTATCTCATGTCAATTTAATAGATAAGCAGAAAGAACCTAGAAGGGTAGATGAACATGTCTTCCTCCCCCATAAAGTAGATGATTGAAATGTTAACTATTGATATAATCCAAAGTATCGCTCAAATTATAATTTCTAGAAATTAAATGTAACGATGCAAATAAGAAGCTATATTACATTTATCCTCCCTAGCCTTGAGCATGAATAAGAGATGAAGAGATGCTTTCAATCTCATGTGTCTTGGGGGTGGGGGAAGTTAGATTTTGTTTGGGGCCAGGGGGTGGGAGAAGAGTGCTTCCTTTGGAGGCTTATCATCAGCTTGTTTGCATGAGGCTGAGAGCCTCTCTCTTGCTTGTCCCATCAGCTCCTTGAAGAAGATGACAGTTGGAATGTTCCTGGCTTCCATGGCTTTTGTGGTGGCTGCAATTGTGCAGGTGGAAATTGATGTGAGTTGCCCTCTGATTCTCCTGTGGCCTTTCCTGCTGGCTCAGGTGGGGTGTTCAGAAGTCTTCTTTCTCCAGGACTGAGAGAATTAGAGCAGGACAGGGTCTTTGCTGATCAACTAAGGACTGAAGCTATGGATGATGTACCATAGGGGCAAAACAGTCCCTTTCTGACAACGGCACTGTGGGGTCTTACCACTGCAAAGGACACAGCCAGGAATAGGGTCAAATGGGTACGCTTAATTAGGAGCAAAACCAGACGGCAATTACATAAGGTGCTTCCATGTATAATGTAGTTTTTATAATTGGAGAGAAGTTTATGAAACTTGTTCTTTTGCATGAACTCCTAGAAGATCTAGTTAAAAGAAGTTCAGCACTCACAAAGTATTTCAAAACTATGTAAATTGTCTTTTTTATGACAGTCTTCCCTTTTGTATTCTAATGTTTCTAATAATGGTTAATTCCCATGCTAGTTCACAGGTCTGTTGGTCCCAAAATGGGGCAAAACTGGACTCCTAAACTCCTTATTCTGAGATCAGGTCCTAGAAACAGGGTGTTATGTAAAACAAGAGGTAAAAGGTCTCTGTCTCTCTTTGCCTCTCTCTCGTTCCCTCTCCCTCCTCCCACCTTCTCTTTATTAATTTCTATTTTATAATTTTTAATTAAAAATTTAAAAATTTTGGTAAAATATACATAAATAAAATTTCCCATTGTAACTATTTCTAAGCATACAGTTCAGAAGTGTTAAGTACGTTTACATTGTTGTACACTCAATCTTCAGAATGCTTTTCATCTTCCCAAACTGAAACCCTATGTCCATTCAATAACTCCCCATTCCTCCCTGGTAAGCACCATTCTACTTTCTGTCTCTATTCATTTGACTATTCTAGATACCACATTAAGTGGAGTCATACTGTATTTGTCCTTTTGTGACTGGTTTATTTCACTTATCATAATGTCTTCAAGGTTTATTCATGTTGTAGCATGTGTCAGAATTCCCTTTCTTTTTAAGGCTGAATAATATTCTATTGTATGTATGTAGCACATTTGGTTTATCCATTCATCTGTTGATGTACACTTGGGTTGTCTCACCTCTTGGCTTTTGTGAATAACGCTACTATGAGCATGGGTGTGCTCACTTCTCTTGAGCATAGCTAGTTGTGAGGAAAACAAATCGTGGGACTAAAATAGAAATAGATTGCTTCAGTGACACTGGGATTTGAGACAGGGCATTATAGGGAAAAGGCGGAAACCCTGAGCAAAGATGTAGAGGCAGGAGGGCATACAGCATTTGTGAGAGGATATTTGGAGCACCCTATCCCGGGCTAAGGTCTGGGCTTCCAGATTCACAGGGGAGGCATCCTGAGAGAGTAGATCTCAGGTGCCATGACAAGATAAACATTCATTTAGGGTATGGTTACTCTGACCCCCCTCAGGTGTTAGGCTTCATAGTCTAGCATTCCTTAACCTGGAGGGAGGTAGGTAGGTCCAAGGTAAGACCAAGAGCAGCCTCTCTCTGATTACTCCTATGTTCTGCCCAAACTTCATTTTCTATGGGTGCCATGAAGTAAGTGATTGGAGGCTTTGTGGGATGTGTTTGGTGTGACTCAACCAGCACAACTTTCCATGGCTGCGGGGGAAATGACTCTAGTGCCATGGCTAAGATTATCTTCAATGCAAGCTAAAGACCTCACTGCCAATTATCTTTTATTTTGCTCAGAAAACTCTTCCAGTCTTCCCCAAAGAAAACGAAGTCCAAATTAAAGCACTGAATATAGGAAATGATAACATGACTATATTTTTTCCTGGAAAGACGGTGACACTTGACCAACTATCTCATGTAAGTAGGGGATGCGATTTTCTTTTTCATCTTCTGACCTGAGTTATAATAGGATTTGCGGGAGCTGATCTTTTTGGTCGTTGTATGAATTCCAAGATAGCCCAGAAATGAAATGTCTTAATATCTTGACCTCCTTTTGGCTTCACTTGAGACCAGTGCACCTCAAACTTTAATGTGCATATGAATTGCCTGGGTAGTTTATTAAAGTGCAGATTCTTGATCAGTAGGTCTGAAATACTGCATTTTTAACAAGCTCTCAGGTGATGCTGCTGCTGCTGGTGCATGGAGCCACACTTTAAATAGCAAGATCTGGGTCGGTGGTTCTCTACTTCAGGGAGTTTTGCCCCACTAAGAGACATTTGACAATCTCTGGAGACATTTTTTTATTGTCACAACTGGGAGTGTGCTATTGGCAGCTCCTATGTAGAAGCCAGGGATGCTGACAAACAGCTCCCCACAACAAAGAATTATCTGACCCCAAATGTCAATAGTGCTGAGGTTGGAAAACCCTAATGTGGATAGTCATTGGCCTGGATTAGAGGCTCTCAACCTTGAGTCCATATTGGAATCACCTGGACAGCTTTGAAAATCCTGATACCTGGATTCCAACCCCACAGATTTTGATTGAACTGGTCTCATTCCTGTTTAGACACCGCTGATAACCACTACTTTAGGCCTTGCCAAACTAACAATCTTGAAAACCAAGGAAGTTTGACTCCTGATGCCTGGGGGCAGCCCAGTATTGATTATCTTCAGGGCTGTTGTTTTTCCCCTGAAGTTGTTCTTTGCCCAGTGATAGAAATGATTTCCATAGCATTTATCTTCATAAAACAAAATAAAAGTGAAATGCTGGGTGGAAAGTATAATTGGTAATACTAAACAACTTCATGGCAGAGTCCATAGGGCAGATGGGGGGCTGAGAAAAAACAGTGCCAGCTCCCCAAGGCATTGTTTGATGTGTATGAACTTGCACTGGGGATGTCAAATAAGATGCCATGACCGTTTTTAATTCCACAGTTCATAAGAAGACTCCATGGTGTTAACATGACTCCTTTTCCTCTGTTATAGACAAATGAATTTTTCACTTTTGATGTGAACACACTGACAAGTATAAACATTTCTTCTAATGGATCACCAGTCGTGCCAGTAACGTATGAGTTTGAGGCAGGCCATCGCCATACCCTTCTATTGTGGGCTCCCACCTCTTACCGAGTGGTAAGTAACTGCACACCTACAGCTGACTCTTTACTCAGAGACATGGTGTTTTAGTGGTGTGACTTTGTTTTACCCCTATGTAGTATCACTTTAGATAATCCTCAATTGCTTCCTTCTTCAAGGACACAAGTTATTTGACTTCCAATAAAAATTTAACTGGTGGATTAGTATTATTTTTACTATTAATTAAATATTGAATTTTAGGGTTAATATTTTAAAAATGAACTTTTGAGTATGGTGTGTGTGTGTGTGTGTGTGTGTGTGTGTACACAAGTCACACAGAATATATATGTGCATTCTCAGTGACTTGTTGAGATAAATTTTAGAATATATCTTTAATTGTATTTTTAAATTTTTTCACTTAGTAATTGGAAAATTAGAGTGGGTTCTACAAAAAAAGATATAGTAAATCTATCAAATAAAACAATAAACATACATTTAAAATATTTCATGATGAAATATGTGTTCAGATATGTCATTCAGCATGTAAAGAAGCTATGAAGGTGTAGTTGAACTAAATGAAGGAGTTGTGGGTATTTTGTAAGGTAAATTTAAGTGAGCTTCTATAGAACTGCAATATAGAATTAAGATTTCTGAGTCATGTGTTTTAATTAGGGAGCTGTTGATTGGCTTGTTCTAAATTCTTGGAGAGCAGTGTTCTGTAGAACCACTGGAAAACAAGCATCAAAA